CAAATGGAAGTTAAAAGTTGAATCTACAGTAGGTCAACCTCATCATCAGTGAGCCATGGGCGTCCATGACCCTGTCTCCAGTTCACCATTTGTCCTTCCTTAGACACTGTTGGTAGGTACTAACCACTACAGACCAACAACACCCACCAAGACCTGCAGACTGGGAGATGCTCTGACCCAGTCATCTCACCATCACAGGTTGGCCCTTGTCAAAGTCACTCAGATCCTTACACTTACCCATTTTTCCTGCTTCCAACACATCAACTTTGAGGACTGAATGTTCACTTACTGTCTAATATAGCCCACACACTGACAGGTGCCACTGTAACAGATAGTCAGTGTTGTTCACTTCACCTGCCAGTGGGCAGAATGTTATAGCTGATCGGTGTATGCCACTGCTCCAGTTCTGAATTAGTAGGTCAAAGGTCAAAGTGTTTATTTATCATATGCACAGTTAGGAAACGTGTTTCCCTGTACAATGAAATTCTTACTTTGCCGTCCACATGAATGCCACAAAATACAAATGAAATATAAAGTAGATAAATAAGTAACACAAAATCTAAGGCACTTTAAAGCAGCAAGTGAAGGAAGGATGCTGGGGGTGGGTGGGATCTTTGAGGATGGAGGCAGCTTTCCTACCCACCCTGCAGTGGTAAATGCTCTGCAGAGAGGGCAGTGGAGTCCTGGTGATCTTCTCCACAGTCTTTACCACTCTCTGCAGGCGCTTGCAGTCCTCTTACGCTAAACAACCTCTGTCATTCTAAGATTATCTTGTAGTAGAGAACCGAAAAGTGTTTCCACCTCTCAGTGGTCATAATGTTATTCCTGACCGGTGTATGTGAAAGTTGTTGCTTGAGGTGATGAGCCCACAGAGAATAATCATTCCACTTTGCAATTGCCCTCAGCTGTAAGAAGCCTGATGTTCAGTGTTTTAGTTCTACCACCTAGAACTTGACTGCTTTCGTCTTTTCAGCTGCAGCAGGTAGCTGTTGTCAGCAGCAGAGCTCTGATAAACCCACTGTACACTACCTGTCCAGTACCACACAGCAGACAGACACAGTGAGTTATTAGCCGGTGAACATAGTGGAGAATTTGGTGGAAACCAAAACAGACCTACAGTAAAAGTGAATGAGTTTTGGACTGGCATCCATCACATGGCCAAAGTCATGACAGCTACTGTATATTACTGATGCTAAAATTGTTCTTGCTAAATGGGAAACGTGCCCATTTACACAACAGGTGTGCCTTATTACATTTATAAGGAAATAATGTCAGCTTTAGTTTTCAACTTGTTCTGCTGCACCCAAGTGGTTAAAACCTGTATACAGCTTTAAATACAGTTTGCTGATACTTCCATACCAAGTTAACCAAGGTTAAATAACAAAAATTTGAAAACAGGACCATTGTTTGTAACTGAGTATTTTTACACTGTGATCTTATTTTTGCTAAAGGATCAATACGTATCTTTTGCCATTGGTTTGGTTATTGTCAGTTCTGAAAATAAAGAGCCACAGTACAGGCAAGACTGAAAAGCTGCTGCCTCTTTTAGAAATATATATAACCAGAATTAATAATCATGCAATTTAAAAAAGGAGAAATTACTTTGCTAAAATTTTGCAGCCAAATGTTTTGAATTCCTAAGCTGCCCTGATGTCCTGCTGATGTCTTTTAGTAACACAGCCCCCTAACAGTATTGTACTTCATGTGTTGCATTAAAGGATGCTGGCTTCTCTATGTGCTTGGCTGTATACTGCAGCAGAATGTTGTGTGCGTAGGAATGTAGAGAAGGTTTGGCTGCAGGCATTGTTCTGGCACAGAGCACTGAACAGCTTGAACAGAACAGGGTGGACATATGATGGTCAAGTCGTGCAGTCATTGCCCCTCCTTGTGTTTGTGCTCCTGCAGTGTTTGAGGACATCAAGCAGCTGTACCACTAAATGAATTTGAGCAAAGGCATGTGCATGCGAGTTAATTTTTCTTATTTTTTCCTATGTAGTTTGCCAAATCTCTGAAGCATTTTGGGGAGGAAGAAGGGAGGATGCAGCCTGATGAGTTCTTTGGAATCTTCGACACCTTCGTACAGTCATTCAGTGAAGCACGGCAAGACCTGGAGAACATGCAGCGGCGCAAAGACGAGGAGGAGAGGAGGGCACGAATGGAAGCCATGGTGAGAGAGAGAGACATGCATAGTAAACATGACATTCTTTGGTTCATAATGTCACAGAATTATTTCTTGTCAGTCGCCAACAGTAATTCCTAACTTTTTATCAATACTTTTTGCCTCAGAAGTCTTAAACTGAGCTGTATGACATGCGTTAATCCATTCTCTCCTTCTGTCTTTCTTTCCAGCTCAAGGAGCAGAGGGAGCGGGAACGGCGTGCCAAGAAAAGCGGAGCCTCAGAGGAGGTCGGCGGGGAGTTTGACGACCTGGTCTCAGCGTTGCGTTCCGGCGAGGTCTTTGACAAAGACCTAGGCAAGTTCAAGCGTAACCGCAAGCGCTCTGTCAACCAGCTGGTGGATGGCGGTGGCCGTGAACGAGCCATCAGCAAGGTCGACTATTAGACTGGGAAAAGGAGAGGAAAACACACTAGACGCATCATTTCCGCCATGGTGTAGATCTCTTAACACCTTTAGTCCAGGTTCTCAAAGTGTGACCACTGGCATTGGAGAGGATGTAAATAATGGCTGGACTGGATGTGTGACTATGGACAGCAAGGCCATTTTGAAGGATGCAACACTCTCCTCTGATTGGTCTTGTAAAGCTATTTCCAACCTCTTTGTCCTGGACATTGTGTGATTTCCTGAGCATGGACATGGAGTTGGGATGTATGGATAGACAGACCACTGTGACACCTTATCCCATGTCTTTTGATCATGTCCTTTTAGCACTGTGCTCAAGCTTCTCACTGTCTTTCACCTTGTTTCTCACTGTTCTTCTTACCCCACAAACCCTTTGGTGTTCCCCAGTAAGTTCTTTGGTGCTGGAGCAGGCCCAACATTTTGCTACCAAGCTCTTAAACACACAGGACATTGATCACCCAGTCACACTGTACATAGACACGAGGGCAAGAGAAAGGACTGGGGAAAGGACTATGAAGCTCCTCCAGGTGGATTTAAAACAACAGGTTGACGGGGGAACTAAGTCAAAACCTCGACACTGATGGTTGCTTCAGGCGTCCCCCAGAAAAGAGTTTTCAGCCGGAATGGATCAACTTTCATAAGCAGATAAGGACACCGAGTCAACAAGTCCCAGAATGCTTTGTAGGCATCTGAAAGCATGTAGAACGACATACAACAGGGATGATGGCTTCACCCCGTGGCCTCCTCCAACACACAGCATTCCCAGGCAGGATGCATCCCAGGCTGCAGTTTCACACGATACAGCTCAAAAAACCCGTAACAACTTCTCAGCTTGCTCCACCTGACAAAATGACTGCACCACAAGGGTCGAGCCCCACCTGCACTCTTTAAGGATTTCAACATTGTTTTGGCATTAACCAGTGCCAAAGCAGAGAAACAAACAAATGTAAATGTATTAATACAAAAAATACTGCAATTAGGCCTTGATATATATTTATATTTAGATGCAGATGAGCTAATTGCAAAGATGTAGAGGTTTTTATGTTTTCATGGCATTTTGGGGTTTTGTACATACAATGAATGGTTGGTTGCAAGTTCACATCGATGTTGAAGTGAATTCCTATACATTTTGCGCTTTAGGTAGAGAAAAAAGTTAATTGCTTGTCCTTTTACATCTGTCTTTGTTTGCACTGTAGCTTTTCTGAAAACTTTACACTCATTGGTTTCCACAAGCCAACCTACACTGTCCTCTGGAAAAAGTCCTCTCTGTACTTCCATGACTTTTATTTGTAACAGAGATAATGAAGGAATGCCATATATGAATTTACAATTAAAGGCACCATCTGCAATTAGTTAGTGCTTTCCCCCCGCTCAGCCATCAGTCTGCATGATTCACATCAGGTTGTGGATGGTGTACTCTGCTCCATCAGCTGCAATAAAATGCCACATGGACTCTCAGTAGGGGCCAAAAGGATGCTGCATCACTGTGTCTTTAACAACTCTCATCCACACTACATCTAGGATCTGTTTCACTGGTGCTACAACATGTGGTCTCTGGCCAGAGCCAGAGGACTTTACCCTCACCTCAGGTTAAACTAGTGCTTGGTGACTCTGTTATCCAGGTTCATCATGCAGTACCTCTGTGTCTGTTTTAGACCACGCCATGTGAAGAGGCTGTTATTGCAAAATCGGAGCGCAACAAATTTCTTATAGCAGCTTGATGTGAATGTTTAGGGTTCATTAATGGTGCACACTGACAGGAGGATGATAAGAAGAACAGCTTGAGAAGTAGTCGTAGAAAATCCTTAAACAACCCTTATGTCCATCTTTCCTTCCAACTTATGACTAGAACCTTTTTCTATGACCTCTTCATTACCACAACAGTCAGGCCCCCATATTATAGCCAACTTAGGTCATTTCCTTTGAGTATACACAATATATATTGTTTTTAATTTATATGTGCTTTTGTAAGACTTTACCAATAGATATGACAAAGGTTGGGATCTATGTGGTTGTCTTACTAAAACAAAGATCTTGTTGAAGGTGGACAAGCTCTGATCCTGGGCTGAGCACTCGGCTGCTCTCGGTGTGTTGGAAAATAAGGAGGGTGATGGGTTTACACTCCACTTTGAGACATGAAATGGAAAAGGGGGCTCCATGTCTGCCTAAAACTGTATTTTCCTCATAGGCTGTTAACAATAACAGTAAACCAGAGGATTGATATTACAGGCCTTTTCCTCATTCCCCAAATCTCAGAGTAGCACTTGGCAAGACATTTCCAAATGAATATTGTAATTGAACATCTGTGTGAATTTGTAGTGTTTCCGAATGAACTGATGGACCCACCAATTAACACAAGCTACAACCACTAGAGACGGAGAAGCTACAGCTGACAAAGACTCTATATATGTATTAGTATCTCTGTTCTCAAACATGTTTTAATTGACATATTTAAGTGCCTCTGACCCAGTTTTCTATATGTACAGTACCATTCCTATTGTTGCATTGTAGTGCTTGTGGCTTTACAAACAATGTACAATATTTGCTTGTAAAATGCAGCTCACAGTTGGAATGAGACTGACTGGAGCCATCTTGTGGCTTCAGATAGTTCACTTTGAGTTGCAGCATCCTAAGCAGTTCAAAGCAGTTCCCCAATGTTGTTGACATGATGAGGCATTTGACCCTAACTCCAGGCACAGTGAGTCACCACTGTCTCCTAAATAACAGGTTTACCTGACGTGTTACCTATGCACACATGTCCCGCTGCCTTTTCTCCAAAAGCTTCAGTTTACCCATAATCCGCTCATCCTATCAGAATGTGTAGTGCTTTAGTGCTTCCTCTAACTGAAGCAAAGATGAGGTGATCGCAAAGATGATGCGAGACGGTGCAGATAGGATCTTTAAGCTGTTGAGATTACCCAGTAAAGCAAAGAGACACTGAAAAATCAGTGAAATCCTTTAAGTCCTAAGAGAAACAGTACATGATTGCCTATTGTTTAACCAGCATCTCATGTATATTTGAGCTATTCTGTTTTCTAACCTCTCCTCCTTTGTCTTTTGAGTTAGCCAGGGTTATTAGTGTATCAGACTTTGGCAGAGCCTTTAAACTCTTAGCTTTAACCTTAATGTAGTGCAGACTGTTAACTGAGGGGAACTGCAACTTTTGCCAGTATTATTACATGTTTGCATTGTTTCTTGTTTGGTTGTTTATTTGGCCATTGACTTGGCTGATCTTTGGAGTGTAAAGATGGAAATCAGAGGAGTGAAATTAGTAGCTTGTTCAATGCACTTTTATTGTGGGACTTTTCCATTTGCAAAGTTGCAGCACCATGTTAAGGGTTCAGATCCCTCTGAAATGAGAAGGGTGTAATGAAAGAGCGGTGCAACAGAACATGGTGTGTAGAAGAGAGACAAAGGGAAAGTGAGGTCTGGGAGTCTGGCTGGGCCGTTGGAAATGCATTATAACATCACAGTTATAACGGTCTGTTGAATGGCAGAGATGGGACAAACATGAGGTGACACAAAGTTTTGAAGCCTCAACTGTCTGTCACCTTGGTGTATTAAAAAAAATTAAAAGGGAGTGGGATGTTCTTCCTTTGACACCACCACATTTGTCAGATCTTGCACTTGGCATCGACCTGCATGCCTAAATAAGGGTGCACAGAGTGTGATGTGCTGACTTAAACATGTAAGAGAAAATTGCTTGCAATATGGAGCGCCCCTGTTACACATTTTGTTACTGCCTGAGAAAAGTTGCAGCCAGTTACAGAGGTTGTATCGTTGTGAGGAGTCAGTATTTTTATGGTTGGAAAAAAGTATCCTCCACAAAAAAAATGTACAGTCAGGGGAAAAAAGCGTTTTGTACACCGTTCATGTTGTTTGAGATGAGATTAAAGAAAAGATGAAAACATTGAGGAATGTTCCATTTTCCTGTAAATTGTACCTCTATTTATTTGCCTTTAGTTTGCTATATTTTGTATGTACACACAGCATTACAACAAAATGTTATATTAAAAATATGAATAATTAAACTGTGGTCTGAGTATGATGGATAGTCCGGAGACTTTAGTTTTTTAATTTCTTATTTTTTTCTTCTGTATTTTTTTCTTCCCCTGTGTCTTTTGTAGGGTTACAATAAACTTTTGTCCCTTACAACTGATTATTTATTCTTTTCATATCATTTGCTGAGATGAGAACATGTGGGTCACCGAGTCGGTCGACAGAAATGGTGCTTGTACATGCACCAGAGACACGTTTCTACCTTTACACAGTTTACACAAGAAATGCAGTGCAGGCTTCATACCCAAATATTGGATTCTAATCATTAAACTATTAGTCAGGTAATTGATTTGTGCATTGACAAATTATTCTGCAACTATTTTAATAATGCATTATTTGTTTTACCACTTTAAATAAAATTTGCTTATCATTTATCCAATACTGAGTCAGAGAGTGGACCATTCTAATACAACCAGTGAAGACTTTCAAAATAAAACTAACTGTGGTGTGCATTTCAAACTTTGTGTCCATGACAAATATGCACAGGAAGTAGAGGTAGATAAAATGTTGGTATTACGGCCACTGAAGAACATGGAGGTGGGTTCTAACCTTTAGTTAGAATGCATTATTCTAAAGTGGTGAGTGTGTTGATTCAGACATTCATCATAAAAAATGAATGATGACTGTAATGTCTTACAGTCTGTTCTCTGGTAACTCATTATCTGGCCTAGTCAGAAGTTTCAGTCTGTTCTCTGGTAACTCATTATCTAGCCTAGTCAGCAGTTTAGAGTTTTTCAGACACTACTTAGCAGTCCATCAGTTATCAGGTTGTTACTGACCTGTTCTACTCAGGATGTCCTGTACTGTATCATAAGGTTTTACTGAAAAACAATACTGCACTCAACCACTGAACTGAAGGCCATTTATGTCATGATATGACATATCAGCAACCATGTAGAGGAAGCATTTAGTGTTTTGTCACCAGAGGTCAAGAAGAATGATGCTGCTGTGAAACCAGATGGCGTAATGAATCCTGACACTTCTTGTGTTGTTAATAAAACTTTGCTTGTACTTTGAGGTACAGGCAGCTTAATGATGAAACCAGCAGGAAGCATTCAGTGACTTACTATCGAGCTCAGATCTGTGCATCACGACATAATGTGTACTGTATATGCAAAGTCTGTATTTGATCCAGCATCAAATAAATACGTCTGTTACTTTCATTTACTGGGTCTGAGTGATTAACAGGTCCTCAAGCTGCATGTGAATACTTAAATATCTGCCTGAATAAGGGTGTCATCTAGATTTGTCTCATTCGTATATTAATCCCAAATAAATGTAAAACTTTCTGAAAAGAACCAGCCATGCACTGTGTCTATCAAATGATGGAACAAGGGTTTTACCACCTCCACCCACCTGTCAACAAGAAGAGGACACACTCAACTCTTGCTCCTATATGGGGCTGACAATCTGTCACCATACCTAAAGCAACACAAGTCACATTCCCATGATTTTACTTATTCACACATTCTAATTACACATATTAGACATTCAATAATTTATTACTGAGTAGTGATTACAGTTTGTCACAGAAAAATAATTTATTACTGAGTAGTGATTACAGACAGTTTGTCACAGAAAGATTCTCTGTAATACCAAGATATGTTTCTCTATAGCTGAGCCATAAAATGTCTAGCCCATTATAAAACACCACTGAGAAGCACAGATGGGTGACAAATACAAGGAAACCTGAATGAATGAGTGGAGAAACATAATAAACAGATGCTGGCATGGTCTGAGTCCACTTGTCCCACCAGTCTTCCAGGATGACAGTGCCCCCACCCTCAGGGCATAAGGGGTCACTGAATGGTCTGATGAGTATGAAAATGATGTGAATCATATGCCTTGACAGTCACCAGGCCTCAACCCAACTGAACACCTATGGGAGTTGTTGGAGTGACATGTTAGACAGCATCTCCACCACCATTATCAAAATACCACATGAGGAAATACCTTTTGGAAGAATGATGTTCTCTGACATTACATACTGTTACACACATCAGCACAGCACATTCTTTTGGTAACTGTCTTCCAGAGTGTTAATGTGATGAAGTGCCTGACCACTCACCACTGTCTCCTAAATAACTCTGACAGGTGCACTACAGAGTGGCCGACATGTCATCAGGGAGCATCGACCTATCACCTGTGTGAGACAAGTCTAGTCCATCACCTGCTTGTTCACCGTTCAAATTGATTTTCCCCACTCAGCGACACACACGCTGAGAAAACAGCTCTGGTAACTGACAACTCTATAGTCAGAAATTTGACGCTACAGACACCGGCAGCCATAGTCAAAATATATTCCTGGAGCCAGAGCGGGCAATATCGGATCCTATTTGAGGCTGCTGACTAAGGATAAACATAAATACAGTAAGGTTGTTATTCTAATGACTCCTGACAGTCGGAGGTCACTAAAATTAATGTTGAGTCGGTGTGTAACTTCGCTAAAACAATGTCGGATGCCATAGTTTTCTCTGGACCCCTTCCCAGTCTGACCAGTAATGATATGTTTAGCTGCATGTCGTCATTCAACCGCTGGTTGTCTAGGTGGTGCCTGGAAAACAATTATTATTGTTGACCGTCCACCTGCTCCTTATTCAGAGTTTTTAAGTGAATTCTCAGACTTTGTGTGATTTAGTGCTTAGTACAGATAAAATAATCATAGTAGGCGACTTTAATATTCATGTAAATGCCGACAATGACAGCCTCAACAATGCATTCTGTTCATTATTAGACTTGTGGAACAGCTCGCACATCCGCTCCTTAAAGCACACATCACAAACACTGGAAAGGAAGTGGTTTTCCACTAAGTCAGAAGAGTTTTTCATAGCCTGGAAAGATAGTTTAATAACATATAAGAAAGCCCTTCATAGTGCCAGAACCACATTTTATTCATCACTGATTGAGGAAAATAAGAACAACCCCAGGTTTCTTTTCAGCACTGTAGCCAGGCTGACAAAG